TATATATATATATATATATATTAGGGGAGACCCAGGCAGCTGAAGAGGGCCCCATAGCATTAAACCCCTATAAGCAGACAATACAGCAGACATACAGCAAACCATCCATAGGACAGACAGTCAGATACAAACACTGCGCTGCACTGCAGCAATTGCTGCGGCAGTGCATCACGCCTGTGCTGCTGCTGCTGCTGCTACCCCTACGCCGCACGCTTGCCACACAGATGCATGCAGCCCCAACTACACACATACATGCATACACACAAATGTATGCATGCATGCACGCATGCAGTGGACTGCATACATAGGCGGCCTTCCCCAACGAAGAGACGTCGGTCCTTCCCTCCTTCCCCCATACCCATCACTCTGGGGAAGCGAAGAGGAAAGGAATATTTGGTCCTTTTATTTCCTCTATCTCCCTCCCTCTCTCCCTCTCTATAGGAAGAAAGATCGTCCTTAAGAGGCTCCGCACAGCCCCACCACATGCATGCATGCTCCATACAGCTGCATGCTGGGGTCATATGCTGCAAGCGGCTAGCTAGCTAGCTTCTTCAGCCGCTAGCCAAGGAGAGGAACGGGGAGGGGGTCTCTTGTTGCCTTCCTCCTCTCCTTTTCTTATCTTCCGCTGTCTGTGGTAACAAGAGGAAGAAGACGACTACTTATAATAGCTGGAGAAGTCCTACCTACACCCGTGTGTCCCAAGGGGAAGCTAATAATATAACAAGATAAATAAATATATGCATTGCAGCGGTAGCAGCTGACACACAGACGATCGGATCGCCTGCATGCAGCTGCTCCAACTGCGGACCTGAAGTCTGCATGCATGCAATTTGCATGTAGCCTTCTACAGGTGCAGCAGCAGCGGCAGCACGGCGGGAGGGGAAAAAACCCCTAAATAAGGGAGGCTGCCAGCTGCGGGGGAGGAAAGAAGGACCTCCACGGCAATACAAAAAAACCCGGGAAACGCCCTGAGATATATCTGTTGCATGCATCCTTATAAGACGCATGATAGATATATACACCAAAGAGGACCAAAAATATGCTGCCGCACATGTATGCACATGCATGCACTCATAGATACATACAGATACACGCATGCGCGGAAATAACGCATTCATGCACGCATGCATACATACATCCATACATACATGCACTTATACATGCATCCATGCAAGCAGATATGCATGCAGCCTGACGCGGAGCGCTCCGCGGACACAAAAATGCTTTCAGCTCGAGTAAAAGTCATGAGCAATAAAGGTGTTAATCCGCAGCGTCTTCATCTTGGCGCTGCGCAGGAGGGATGTTGATGTTGATGCTGGGGTGTATATAATACAACAGCTCTACAGCTCCATCTGGCTAGCTCTAGCTAGCTAGCTAGCTGTAGAAGAAAATATATTATCATGAATTTAATTATGCAGAGAGTTCCTTTGCATGTCCTGAGGGTGCAGGAGCAAGCTGGGTGGCGGAGAAGTGGCCGGATGCAAGAGAAGGAACCTGTTGCCCTGGGTTGTTAAGTCCTGTAACATCGAAGTATTTACTCATAACCCTTCTTTTTCCCTTAAAGTAAGGAGATTCATCAATAGATAGACCAGCTGTTTCCTTCATAAAGATTAAGGAAACAACAAAGGCTATAAGAGATGTACCACCACATATGCCTAACATAACCCGCATATCCGAGGTCAAGACGAAGTCGGAGGGAAGAACAACAATAATAGTTGCGACGGCATTGATGGCGGAGGCAACAGATGCGCCTGTTTGTTTAATTTCTGGTGGGAAAATCTCATGGAGATACACCCAAAGAACAGGACCATATCCAACAGCAAAGGAAATAACGAATAGATATATGCATGCAACTGTCAGCCATTGTACAGCTGTGCTGTTGCGATCAATTAGATTGGCAATAAGAGCAACAATAGTAGATGCTGCTTGTCCAAAGCAACCACACAGGAGGAGAGTTCTTCTGCCTAATCTATCCATTAAGAAGATCGCAGGCACCGTCATTAATACATTAACAAGCCCTGTAACAACAGTTAAGGCGGTGACGAGGGAGGCGTCGATGTTAAGAGAAGCATACAACTTGTTGCTGTTGGCCACGAGGATGTTAATGCCGGTAAACTGTTGGAAGGCGGAGAGGAAGAAAGCAAGAAGAAGTACATGACGATATGCTGGATAAGTCATTGCTTTCCCTAGGGATAAACTCTCGGCCTCGAGTACTTTCTGTTGACAGATGGCGACCTCAATAGTTTGTACTTCTGCACTAACATCTTCTTTATTCAATAATTCCTTAAGAAGGGCTGTTGCTGTGTTCTTACGTCCCTGATGCATTAAGAAATGAGGACTCTCTGTTGGGTATACAAGCCACAGTAGCAATATAGCCACAATGGACACCGCAGCAGGGAAAGCCAACATGAATCGCCACCAACACTGCTGGAAGGTGCTGACGGTATAACCGAAATCTGTATCCGTTGGAGGAGAGCCGAATGCCAATCCAAGAAGAGTAGCTACAAGAATACCCACAGTAATAAGAAGCTGATGGAGAGTTCCGTAGAATCCTCTATACCTGTCAGGGGAGAACTCGGATATATACATAGGGACGCATACTGTTGCTAACCCCACAGCCATCCCTTGATATAAACGAGCTAGGAATAAAGATGCCACGCCATCGGCTGCTGCAGCAAGGGCGCTAGATACCAAGAAAAGTAAATTTGTCAGCAATAGTGACACCCGACGACCAAAGTTTGTCACAGGACCAGCTAATAAACAACCAAACATTAGTCCTACAAACACAGCCGTTGTAATTAATGATCCATAAAGAACACCATTACTACAATCCAAAACATGATCAGGGTCGTTTTTGCACCAGTCGAAGTCAACGATGATGATGGCCTTTGAGGTATTTAAAGAAGAGAAACTATAACCAAATTGGAAAGAACCCAACACCGCAACCAATACAAACTGGGCTGCTGCAGGTAAACAGCAGCTACGCGGTGTAAAACGGGCAGGGGGAACATCCCCCAATGCCTCCACTTCTTTCTTAGAGGTCGCGTCAATCTTCTCCATTATTGCCGCTTCTCTCGTATTTACGTCTCAAACGTCTCCCGGAGACGCCGCTGCCTCCTGCTGCGGTCTAGACAGCTCCCTAAGACACTCTCCTCCTACCAGCCACTAGTCCTACTACCTCTGCAAACAGCAACAGCTGCAGCAGATGGATGGGCTTCTCTCCTGGCCCACACGACGTGCAAGTTGTGGGTGGAAACACTTGAACTGCTCCCCCGCCGCAGCGGCAAAGCTGACAAAAACAAACCCCTGTTGCTGTAGCAGCAGCAGCTCCCGCCGATACCAAAACGCTGCAGACAAGACTGCAACGACAAAAAGGAATACCCTAGACCCGCAGGACAATGAGGGCCAAAGAGGATGGGTAGGTGGGGCACAAGGAGGGCGCCGCACAGAGGCACTCGGGAGAAGAAGAGAACGACAGACCCTCAGCTGCTGCCACTCCTATGATGTGGCCTTGGGCTTCAGGCTACAAGTGTAATTTGCTGTTCTGCTTGCACCTTTTGCTGAACAATCACGATGAAATTGATTTGACGCACAACACAAAAGCAGCTCCGCCACCATAACGCAGCCTCCCTTCAGCAAGCAGCCTGTGGAGCAGAGAGGATGCTGCTGGCCCGCAGCAGCACAACAGCAGCAGCACCTCGCACGCTTTCTGGCCCCTGTGGAAGCAGTGGTAATAGGCTGCTGCAACCGTTAGAGCCCCTCTACATTTAAACGTTTTAAAGCATTTTACTACGCACAAGAAGGCTTTATTTATGTGGCTGACAGCCGCACCTGCTGCCTTTGGGGCCACCGTCTCAACTCTTGCCCTGCGCACGCAGTGCGGATGCTGAATACCGGCTTGTCCGTCTCGCTCGCCTCCCTCTTCTGCCTCTTCCTGTGGCAAGTACTCCTCATTTATAGCATTTACTTCTGTGATCCATTATAAATAGGATCTCATGCTGCAGGAAAGCAACAAACTACCACAAATACACTAACAGCTCGCCAAAGCTGTGGTGCAGCAGGACAAACACCCGCTGGGCGCACTTAGACACGCTGCTCCCTTGTGGCTGTTCCGAGCGCACATTCTAGCTCTTCAGCACAATCTGGTGAATGTTTTTAACTCATTCAAAAACTTTAGAGCGATTTCAAATGTTTGCTCTTTATGTTACCCTCGAACCTAGCGGCAACGACGGTGCTCCACTGCTGCCCGCGCACCTTCGCAGTCTGTTACGCAATTCATCCATTGCGAAGGAGGCAGCGCAGGTGTAGTTCAAGAGCAGTTATAAACTTGTATGGGGGGATTCTTGTATTCTTGAGACAAACATGTGCTACCCACTAACGGGGTCGGGTTCCTGGCTTCACAGAGGGCCCGTGTTTGGCGTGAGTGAGTTGCAACATACCGATGCTTGCAGTTCTGCATGCAAGGGCTGAAAAGACACCATAATACCTGGCTAATTGCGGGCGAACAAGTTTTTTTACAAATGTCTAGGATTGTATTTAGTCCGTCTAAATGGGGCGTTGCAGCAGGGGCCCGTAGCATCCGAGCGGAAGCCCACCGTTCATATGCCGGATCCTTGATCTTACGGAGTACGGAGAACGGCAATCGAGAGTTTCTTAGATGCAACTGATACGCATCGCCATGTTCCTGGCATCCTCGGCAGAGCGGCGGTGCAGAGCGCTGGTGCTGCCGGAGAAGAGGCGGCATGCTAAGAGTTGCAACGCAACATACAGCATCTGCCGGTTCACGACTGCCTCAAATATAAGCCCAAAGAAGGCTTCTTCGATATATGTACAGACACTCTAGACAGCTCCCAAACACTTTTGTCCACATTTGTATATTAGGGCTGCGTTAGTGCTCACCTGCCGGCTTCATATATACTTGCCAACATCGGATAGACTATGCTAGAGCCGTAGTCTAAAATCCAAGCTACTTGGAACGAGGTGACGCCCGTTTTAGCCTCCAGGTGTCCTGGATACAGGAAGTCAAGGGCTTCCGGTTGATGATCAGAGAACAACCCGGCTACAAAGTGTAGCATAGTCTGTCCATTGTTGGAAAGGCTAAAGTGGGCACGTTAACGTTTACCAAGCGAAAGTAGACAAGCATCTGGAAAGCAAAAGTTCTCCATGATGGTATAAAGTGTCTGTATATATAGAGCAGAGGTTTGTTTGTGCGTGTACATTAGCAGTTATGCACCTTGGGTTGCACTACGGTGAAGATATTACCATGTAGCCGAAATGCAGTGCCTTAGATGCCTCAAACTGAGGGAATTGAAGCTGCTTGCCATGCGTTGCAATCTCCACGTTGGGAACAAATAAATGCTGTACGTATGAACCCGAGAACGACCAATGACGAGTCCTACTGAACGCGGGTTGGAGTTCTTCGCTTGTTTGCCTCTTTGTATGCATCGACAAACGTGCAGAACCAATAGAGGCAAATCGCTTGGGTTGAGTGTTATTGGTGGAAGCCGTTTGCAGGTATTCCGCTTTTGTATCCTTATGCTTCTTCCATTATATTCCTTGCTGATCCAAGCTGTATATGGAAGTTGGAACTGGACAAGCACGCGGTTGGAGAATTCCGTATGACCGCCTTAGCTCTTGGTAGTCTGCAGTAGTCATGTTCTGGTTGATGTTTAGCCGCTCCTTGAATCTGCACAGGAAAGGGTTGAGCATCTTATGGTGAATAAGGGTTGTGGAGTCTCCAGCCATGAGTAATAAATGTTGACATATTCACTGATGTCCGCCTGCACACGCAGGATATGGAGTTGACTTGCTGCTGAATCTGCACACAGCTTCCTCCCTTATACGCTGTACCTCTACAATGAAATCCACTGAGATATCCGTCCAGATCCTCTTGGAAAAGTCCTTTAGAATCCGCAACAACTAGGCGGATTACGTTCGTAAGGGGAAAATCCGGGAAAGGGCGGGCGTGCTCCTCTGCTGTTGGATGCATTCTAGCCCATGAATAGGGCATGGCAGACCCTCTCATTATATTGCTGAACTTCCCATGGACAACGAAACCACAAAGGTATAGTCTGTCAAAGCCTCTGCTCGAAGAGTGTCTGGATCCTATAACGAAGGATTCAGTATTTTGGTTGGTACCAGAAGGCATCTCCATGTATGCTCCATACTTAACCAGTAATCCGTTGTTGAACTTAGCAAGAACCGCAGCCACATGAGTATCCATAAAGTAGCGAAAACGCATCTTAGAAAGGGGACAAAACCAGCATGGGCACGAGGATATGCCAACACACAGTGTCTGGCCAATACAGCGGCTGGAGACTGCTTCAGGGGGCACGTCGGCGTTACACTTACGATATGTCTCTGAACTCGCCCAGAGTTGATTGGTAAAACCGTCGAACTACTCTTCTCTTGCCGGTGTCTTACAAGCTCGTCATCAGGTGCGTTGGAGGAGATCAATAAATTTGCATGACAAAATATGTCCTACTCCAGTAGTGCCAAATTTGTGTACAGCTCATATCGTTCACTTCCGCCTCGGGGATACTCTTGTTATCACTGCGTGAAAAAGCGTGAGCCAGAGGAAGGTATTTGGTGCCTTGTATGATCTGTAACTTGCTGAAATAACATCTTTCTATAATACGAACCAGGATAACCCCAGCTCCATGGAATCGTGGGTTGCTTCGAAGTTAAACAGGAATCCTCCATTTTATCGGGGGAGTGGCATGGGAAAAGTGAAATACTGAACATAATCCTTCCTTAAAATCAATCGGCCTTTCCATTTTCCAGGCACGCATAGTGCACCGGCCCATGCGACTGGAATTGCCTGATGGTGAGACGGCATGCAATGAGTTGTAGCGCGTTGCACTGAAGGTGAAAGATATCCCAGCATGCAAACACAAATATGCTTCCTTCGCTGTATATGCAGACATTGTAGACAACTGTTAAAAACTTCTGCTTCCGTGTCGCTTGCCTACTACGCGGGTTTGTGGGCCCATGCCATACGGACTCGACAGCTTCGCGCACACTATGCTGCATCTGCTCCCCTGCCTCCTCCTGCTGGCAGCACATGACCGCTCTCGCCGGGAGTAGAATGACTGTGCTACACTGTCCCATGCGGGGTGCCGAGATCAACTGGAACAACGCTACCGAAATCTGAGGGCTAGAAAACTGGCTGGAACTTTAGTTCTCTGATGGGGCTTCTGGCAACATCCTCGATATCCGTCAAAACATTCCGATTATATTTACAAAACACATACTTTACACTGAAAGCAATGACAGTATATCCAGTTATAAGCGGATACTATCGTACGCGGTGACGCTGGACGCTCAGGTGCCCGAACTGCTTCTATCTTAGGCTTGGCTAGTGCGACTTCCGCTGCCGACACGAACAATTCCATGCCAGTGCTCCTCAGAAAAGCGTTACACAGGATGCCGCAGGCACTGCAGATGTTGTTGGGCATTCCGGCTACATGTGCGCTTCGCTCATGAATATGAGCATTCATCGCTCATTGACCGGACACAAGAAACCGTGGCAAACCTGGTATGGCAGGTCGCCAGTTGAGTTCACGACGACAAAACCATCTGCAGTTACCCCTTCTTCTGTCCAAGCAACTTAACTTAGTGCTGCTGCATTCCCAACAGGTTGAACGTTTGCTCTGCTCCCTCTATGAGATGATGCCACCTCTCCTTACCAACCCCAGACCCTTGGGCCGCTGTGAAGAGGAAACCGTGGGGCTGAAGGGGAGACCAGCTCTTTTTCGGCAACTTTTATGGTATATTACAGGACTGTTGTGAACCTGCTGTGGTTAACGATGATCCTTTGCTCAGATCTAAGAATGTTGCTTGTTACAACAACAAGGCCTCCTTTGCTGCATGCACTAACATTGTAGACGTTTGTTAAACACTATTTTGGCTCTATATATCCTAAATGAGCTGCAGTCCGATGCAAGTAACAGCTACACACAGACCAGGTTTACTGGGAGCGGCCAATACTCTGTTGGCGGTTTGACAGGCGTGCTCAGCAGCGAAGCTCATGCTTCAGGGACTAATAATTTCGATAGTTATGTTATACATATATATGGAAGCAGAATTTCAGTGGCTTCGTTTGATCCGGTGAAGCATTTGATGGGTTTGTCTTTTCCACGCAAAGCATGGCACCACAGTGAAGACAAGCTCCTGGCCTTTCGCCACGCTTCTTCAAGTTTCTATAGAGCTTGAATTCTCCACTCAGTGCATCACATTTCAAGTGAAAACGTGTCTTTCATGCTGCGTTTCACTTCCTTAGCAGATCGCGGGCGCCATTGCAGTGCACCGCACCCGAGTGCTGTTGAGTGGTGGAACGACCGACGTGAAAACAGCAGTGAAGAGTCTCTTGCCATTGAACATGAAGAATCTGTCTGAAAGTTCACGTTGATAAGTAGATAAGGAATGTGGCCCACAGAATGAGTGGCGGTGGAAGAGGAAAACCATCACCACAATAGTATTTCATACAATCGAGACGGATCGCATCTCAGTCGTGCTGGCCCACATTGCCGGAATAATCTGGGTCCTTCTCAGAACATCGAGTGAGGCTCCTACAGCACATTTTACTATATTATTCACTGAACAGAACAACATATGGTGTATTTAAGGGCCATACGTTATATTCCTGCCATCCCCGGCGCAGTATCTCTCCGTGGTCGGCTCCATAAGCGATCTGGCGTTCTGATGCTAGAAATTGCCCTTTTCCGGTCTTTTTTGGGAGTCTTGTGACGGCTCTCTATCCTGTCGCTGATGGACGGTAAGATATGGACTGTGGGGAGGGCTGGGAGGGATCTCGACCAGTCTTCCGAGCAGGAGCAGCAACACGGGCGATTGCTTGACGGTGTACTTTCGTCGGCATCCTCTGGCGGCAGCCTACCTGTGGTGGAACAAAGGGCAGCCATACCAACTACTGAATGTGAAGATACACCCCTTTCAGCTGCCCCAGAGGGGTTGAAGCCGCCCGTCCAAACCAAACATCCCAAAAGCTGGTTCTGGCCCTTCCTGGCCTTTGCGTTGGGATCGTTGGCCGTAGCGTCAATTTGTAACCATGCACAAAAGAAAACTGAAAAGTTGAGCTTTGCTGGGCGACGGCTGGCAAGCAACGACAATGATGATCGGACAGGCGGTTCAGGTGCTCTTGGAGCGGACGAGCTCGAGCAGCTCTGTCTCAATCTGGGCGACTGGGCCCCGCAGTTTGATGCCAACAATGTGGATCGTTACTCACCCTCTGTCGTGGAAGCGTTTTTCTCTACCTTGGCCGAAAGCAGCGACTTCTCATCAGCAGCTGGAACGCAACAAACGCAGCAGAACTTGGTTATTTTACGTGACAGTGGAGGCAACATTCAGCCCAAAATAATAAAGAATGAGTTCAAGTCTTCGTGCAGCCAACCTCAGAAGGACACGCAGGAGGGGCAGCATCAAACGAAGCAGCTTCCGCAGCCGACAGCTTCACAAACGGAGCGGCAATTCATTGTGATTGACGATAGTGATGGAGATGATCCGGCCGGATCCAGCCATGAACCGCTCAAGTCTTCGAGTCTATCGCTAAATAGCAAAATGGCAGAGCAGCATCAGCCGACATCTACTTCTGGGAAGGCAAAAACTGACGGGAATTTCATTGTCATTGATGATGATGAAGAGGACCCAGTGTCCAGCCAGAAAATTTCAGTGCCCCCGAGGGGTCAGAATAAGCAACCTAGCCTGGCAGGGCAGAATCAAACAATGCAACTTCCTCATCTGACAGCTTCACCTAGGACGGCACAACGAAAGCGGGACTTTATTGTCATTGATGATGGCGATGATGTCGAGGGACCCGGGACCAGCCAAAAAGTTTTCAAGTTTTCGAGTGGTCAAACTCGTACTCCCGCCCTGGCAGGGCAGCACCAAGCAATGCAGCTTCCGAACGCTCATATGACGGGTTCTTGGGGGCCTACCTCAGAACCCCTAGAAGCTGCTTGGAACCAACCTTATTCTCAGCAGCCAACTGGTGGCCTTCCAACAGCTACGTGGGGTCAACCTTCTCGCAATGAGCCCCATCAATCTACTAATTTCCCCTTGACATCAGCTAATTGGAGCCAGCCTTCTCAGCCTGCGCACCAGAATGGTCTCCTCTCAACAGGAGGAGGTTGGAGCCAACCTTATTACCCTGTGCAGCAGAGTGGTTTCCCCCCAACAGAACCTGCGTGGAACCAGCCTTCTCACTCAAATCAGGCACCTGCTGTCCCCTCAACAAGAGGAGGTTGGCTTCAACCTTCTCAGCCTGCGCAGCCGAATGTATTCCCCTCGGGATCAGGTTGGAGCCAACCTCTTCAGCCTCCACAGCAGAATGATTTCCTATCAGAAGCTGCTTGGAGCCAACCTTATTACCCTGTGCAACAGAGTGGTTTCCCCCCAACAGAACCTGCGTGGAACCAGCCTTCTCACTCAAATCAGGCACCTGCTTTCCCCGCAACAGGAGAAAGTTGGCTCCAACCTCCTCAGCCTGCGCAGCCGAATGTATTCCCATCGGGATCAGGTTGGAGCCAACCTCCTCAACCTGCACTGCAGAATAGTGCCCCTTCTGAAGTTGTTTGGAGCGATCCTTCTCAGGGTGCGCAGCAGAATGCATTCCCCTCGGGATCAGGTTGGAGCCAACCTTCTCAGCCTCAGCAGCAGAGTGGTTTCTCCTCTGAAGCTTCTTGGATCCAATCTTCTTCCTCTAACAAGCAGACTGGTCCCCTTTCAGGAGCTGCTTGGATCCAACCTTCTCCCTCTAACCAGCATAATGTTCCCCTTTCAGATTCTTCTTGGATCCAACCTTCTTCCTCTAACCAGGAGAGTTTTCCCCTTTCAGAAGCTTCTTTAATCCAACCTCCTTCCTCTAACCAGGAAAGTGTTCCCCTTTCAGAAGCTTCTTTAATCCAATCTTCTTCCTCTGACCAGCAGAATGTTCCCCTTTTAGAAGCTACTTGGCTCCAACCTTCCTCTAACCAGGAGAGTCTTAGCCTTTTAGAAGCTGCTTGGACCCAATCTTCCTCTAACCAGGAGAGTTTTCCCCTTTCAGAAGCTTCTTTAATGCAACCTTCCTCTAACCAGGCGAGTGGTCCCCTATCAGAAGCTTCCTTAATCCAACGTTTTTCCTCTAACCAAGAAAGCGTTCCCCCTTCAGAAGCTTCTTTAATCCAACCTTCTTCCTCTAACAAGGAGAGTTTTCCCCTTTCAGAAGCTTCTTTAATCCAACCTTCCTCCTCTGACCAGCAGAGTGTTCCCCTTTTAGAAGCTACTTGGCTCCAACCTTCTTCCTCTAACCAGGAGAGTCTTAGCCTTTTAGAAGCTGCTTGGGCCCAATCTTCCTCTAACCAGGCGAGTGGTCCCCTATCAGAAGCGTCTTTAATACAACCTTTTCCCTCTAACCAGGAGAGTGTTCCCCTTTCAGAAGCTTCCTTAATCCAACCTTCTTCCTCTAACCAGGAGAGTTTTCCCATTTCAGAAGCTTCTTTAGTCCAACCTTCCTCCTCTGAACAAGAGGGTGTTCCCCTTTTAGAAGATGCTTGGATCCAACCTTCTTCCTCTAACCAGCAGAGTGTCCCCCTTTCAGAAGCTTCTTTAGTCCAATCTTCTTCACCTAACCAGGCGAGTGGCCCCCTTTCAGAAGCTACGTGGATCCGACCGTCTTACTCTGACCAGCCAAGTGTTTTCACTTCAGAAGTTGACCCTAACCTGGAGAGTATTCCCATTTTAGAAGCTTCCTTAATCCAGCCTTCTCCTTTTGACCAGGATAACGGCATCCAAGGCGTGCAGACACCGGCATCCGGCGACCTACCCCTTCCACAGCGTCTATCACCCACTTTTGTGGAAGAGTTTTTCTTGAGTTTAGACCAATACAATGGCAATCCGAATGTGGGTGTCACTGAGACGAAAGAATTAAAAACGCAACTCTTTGAAGGTGATAATTTTGATCCTGCCGACAATGGTGCTGTTGGTGAAACTGCTGGTAGTGCTGACGGTGAAGATGGTGACGGTGAAGATGATGATGATGATGATGATGATGATGATGATGATGATGATGATGACGATGATGATGATGATGATGGGGACGATGATGATGATGATGATGGTGATGATGATGATGATGACGATAATGATGGCAGTGGTGAGGGCGGCAAGGTTGGCGACAATGATGGCAACAATAATAATGACGAGGGGCCCGGACCCAGCCGGGAAGTGCACAAGTCTTCAACCGCTGGGAGCCAGTCATCTTACTCTCAGCAGCTAGAGGGTTTCCAGGGCATGCAGTCGTTGGCATCGGAGTCGCAGGGGCTGCCGTCTGCAGCCTTTCCTGAAGACCCGTCCACACACCATCAGCAGCAAACGGAGTGGTCATCTGGACAACAGGTGCAGTTTGCTGAGGGGGTGGACCTTTCAGAGGTCGTGAAATTGCTGACACCACTGCAATTGCCAACAGCCCAACTGCAAGAGACTTCAGCACAGCCAGTGATTGGGGGGACGTTGCCCTTCTCACACCTTCAGAGCATACCCCTTCAGACCCCTCAATTGGCGTCGCCGGCAGTTCCGAGCAATACATCCATCTCCGCCCCTGCTGCTATTCCCAGCTCCTCCGGAGCCCAGCAACAAGGCACCAATGGGGAAACTGGCGGAGTCGCTGATAGTTCGAATGGCGCAATACAGGGGCTGCGTAAGGATAAGAAGGAAAAATTACGACGACGCCGCGTTGGAGCAAGGAACGCACCTGGCACCGCAGACGTCACCCATCCTTATATCCGAATTCCCAGGTTGAAACGCACGGTGACAATTAAGGCGGCGTTTTTGAATTCACCCCAACTTCCGCCTAATACTCCGCAACACCTCTCGTTCGAGCTTGCACGCTTTAGAGTTCTCTGCAGAAAGCGTGTCCTCAAGCAGAGTGACGTGGACCGTTTACTACGGGTAGCGGGGAAATTAGCAAAGCACGCTCAAGAACTAATGAATTTCATTCCGAAGCAGACGCCATCGGATGCGGTTGAGACATTGGGCCGTCGGTTCCTCTTGCTCCAAGCTTTGCACTCGATTAAGGTGGCTCTAGGGAATCGCGTGCAGTGGGATACCTGGTGGGAGGACGTCACCTCCCGCATTCCTGCGGACTACTGCCGCCCCGTGCCAGGCAGACATCTGCCGCTGTCACGAGAACTTCATGCTTTTGCCTTGCAGCTCTGCTCTGCGGTGTTGAAGTACAAGACTGGAGATGCCCCTTCGGACGAAGAAGTCTTGGCCATGAAGAAGAAATTATTCTTCGGAAATACATGCACGAAGTACTTCCGCAGGCAGGAATGGAACGCTTGGCGGGATGACGGGCAAAGCTCCTCGTGACGCCACGGCAGCAATGCACATACCGTGCGCTTCCACACCTCACCGTTGTCCACAAGGAACATGTTCCCTGTGGGCAGTAGGGCATGCAAATTGCTCTTCCAATGAAGCTTATTTTTTGTGGGGATTAGTTTGTTCATTGTGACAATTTGACCGTCTGCGGTGTCCAGGCATTGCTTTGTTTCTTTGCCTCGTGCAACTGTTTCGCTTTTTTACCCTAGTGGGCCGGCGAAGAGATCAATAAATGTATTATTTAAAGCAGACAACGAGGGGCGAACGGCTTCTGGAGAAGCGCTCAGACCCCCAATGCTAGGGGCTTCCGCCCGAAGCCCACCTTTCAACTAGTCAATCTTTGTGCACGTAGTTTGTGTTTCGTTGCCAAAGATGTACAGGTATAGGCCACCTACAGGAAGCTGCAGCTCTCAAAGGGGCTCATCGGGACCTTAGGGACGCAGTCAAGCAATCCCTTGCGTAACGTTGCGGTGCAGCATACGTGGGGCACCACAGTAGCAGCAGAACAAATGCCAACCTTCCGTGTGGAACAAGGGCCAGCACATTGGTGCATAACTGCTAGACAAGCACACATCAAGACACCCTCAGTGTGTGGGCCACTGCCATTGCTGTATAGCCACAGCAGCAGCAACTGCAGGAAGTGCCCGGTTGCCGTTTTGCCTGAGCTTTTGCTACTGTGAAGCAAAAATCAAATGCGGCCAGACGCTCGTTCATGGAGGTGCAGTTGGCATCCACAAGCCGCCTGCTGCAACAGGCTATCATCCTACAGCCGGGGCAGGAGCAGATACCGACTCTCCAGCACACCCGAGTTGAAAATGGGGGCAAGGATGGCAACCGGTATTGCCGATACTTAACGGTGGTGCCTCAGCGTAATGCCGCGAAACAGTTGCTGCAGAGAGTACGTAGGTAGTCAAAACCCACTCCTGTTGCGGTAAAGAGGTTGTGAGCCTTTGTCTGTGGTGCATTTGCCGCTGCAGCGCACGTGCCGTCCACGGCGCTGCTGCAGCTTCTGCTGCAAGTTGGGTGAACCAAGCCTGTGTATTATGATTTTGCCGCATCTAGGGACTGCAGCGGTGCCACCTCCTTACGAGCAGCAGCACCAGAAAACACTTCTACCTCCCTCTCTTGCAGCATGAGAAGGCAAACATTTGCGAAGTCCTCCTCCCTGGTTTCGCAACACATGCGACGAAGTGTCCGGCCAAGCCGCAACAGCTCCTGCTGTTGCTCCCTCAATTCAGCACCAAAACTGCTGCTACAAGCAGCAGCATTAGAATAGTCCAGAGCAACGCCGAGAGAGCGGTAAACAAAAGGAGTGGGGGGAGCACGACAAAACGGAGGGCAACTCTAAATCGTTTTCAACTGCAGCGGCTGAACCTGTAACAATGCCAGCAGCGGCAGCCTCTACGTACTGCGAATAAGCAATTTCGTGGGCCACGGGGCAGAGGCCCCTGTCGAGAAGGCAGCAACTGAGACTCTCCTGCTGCAGGCTGTTGCCCACATGGGGGGCCCTCCTTCACTATTTCAGGAGGTTTCCAGCAACTGCGAGGTTTTTTGTTTTCCCTACAGAGGATGGATGCTTGTAGCGCCTGCAGATAAACAACAGCAGCAGGTGAACCCCACGCATAAAAAGTTACCATCCGTTCACTCCGCCGCCAGATAACTACGGCACACTGCCACGCATTCTGCCGTACGCCAACCGCGGGCACAGACAAACACCGGCAGTTGTTGCTAACTTTCGCGTGTGCACGCTCTTGCAAAGGCATCCACTTCGACCCGTTGCAGGCACACACAAAGCAAGCCCAAATGCTCTGAGGACTGACCAAAAGTCTGATGAGACGGGGTGCAGTTGGGCGCAGGAGGCATCAGAGCCAATCCCCCCATTCCTGGAAGCATCGTCACGGGCTGCATGCTGTAGTCCGGCACATAGTCGTTTGGGGCGCTCTGCTGCAACTGCTGCTGCTGCTGCTGCTGCTTGTCCAGTTGATCGAGCCGCGTGTTCACGTCACGCACTACCTGGTACGCAGACCGCAGAAGCCAGATAGGGACAACGTATCTTGAAGGGGTAAAACATTATTTGCAGTCCCAAAGTCTCAAATGTAACCATCCAGCTGTTTTATATCAACCAGGGGTACACCTACGTGAATAAGGTAAGGCATGATGAAGTCTACCACCTTGTGGCGCCAGGCCAACTCAAGTGCCACATCTGGCTTCACGAGATCACAACAGGTGTGGAGACAGGCAGCGAACGCCTCGGGGTCCTTCAACTCCGTTAAAAAGTACCTGCAGATGAGAAAGCAAGGGACTCAAAGATCTGTAGGAAGCGGCGCAACTTGATACGGTGGTTACTTGCAAGTGTACCTCACAGATGCTTGCGGGTGTACTGACGTGCAGTAAATAACCATCAGAATGAATACATCAGGTGCTCGACTAAACACCGTCCTGCCCTCTAATAAAGGATGCCTGGCACTGCTCAGTGCGAATGGTGTTGCTACAGCTCGAAGTGAAGGTACAACAAAACGGGAACTGTGACAGGGGGCTGTCTTACTTTAGCAAATCTTCCACCAGCTGCGCGCTGCCTGACTCCTTTGCAGTTTCTATGCAGTCTTGAAGCTGTGCGTCTTTCTTGGAAAGTTCCATTGCCAAGGAGTACTTCTTGTTCTTCTGATACAGGAGCGCCGCAATCCTGAAACGCATATCGCCGTTTACAGAGGGTCAGTGGGCATACAGCGAGCCCTGCAACTACGTGTAGCTGTAGTTCACGAATGCCTCTTCATACTGCACCTCCCAAGGGTTTAGCGTCAAGAGTACAGGGTTAAGAGAGCGTGGACGCCTTCCCCGTGAGCATCCAGGGCAACGTCTGCCAATACTCGCGCCCCGTGAGCAGCGCTCCACAGCATCTTACGAACTAAGACGTCCTTGCAACACATTCTAACGTACACTACAAAGGGTGTAATTCAAACCCAAATGGTGACACCAGGGCTAACCTGCGCATGCCAAGTTCTTTGTGCACCTCAAGCTGCTTCGCCAGGCCCAACTGGTCGAAATTATCACATTCGAAGATGAGTTCGCGAATACGCTCCTCATCTTGGGCCTCCACAAGGAGTTCCAACATAGCTTCGTTGACTGCTGCGACATTTAAAGGTAGCTGCTCCTGTAGATACTTCTCTATCAAGGGCAAATGCCCAGCCTTGCGAAGTTGCTGCACTACCCTAGAGTGGTCCACCTTCCGGTCTATGCCCTTTAGCAGCGCACACAGTTGTAGTGGATGTTCTTCCAAGTAAAAGGAAATTGCACGGTAGAGAAGTTCCACATTGGAGACCTTCTGCACGACCTGAAGTACAGGTACACCGACAACAATATCCAACAAAATTAGATTGCTAGTGTCGACTTCCCCTCTTCGTTCTTCCACCGTGGAAGCAACGACTTCTGGATCTGCCTACGATCCCTTTAGCTCCTCCATGACGAAGGCAGACTGGGGTTCCATATGCCCCGGCCCCAATGCGAAAGTTGTAGCCGGAGGATGCAGACGGGCGGCATCGGACAAACCTGAATGAATTGGTCATGCTGCCATGCCGTGGGGTGGAGAATCATGCAGTTCGCCGCTTGCTCATACTCGTCGTAGATTGTGTGTAGGTACACGGCTTCCTTCCAAAGGCAGCACTTTTCGCATGTCCGGATGAGTCGGGGGATGTTCATGCGCGCCTTGTGCTGTTTGCAGTGGTCCATAAGCTTGGCGCTATCATAGGTAGCATACAACACTCCCAGTTCGGTAAAAAGCCCCACGTGAGTCCGCTCCCCTTGAGCTCCTGTCTCCTGTGCAAGCGGAGATGGCAGACCATGTACGTTATCTATGGCACCATGACACCGTCTCTGTCAACGTGTGCGTCTGCGGGAGAGCTGGAGCTCACCAGAAGTTCCATGAGCTGCTTATGCAAGCCCCATCTCTCGTACTCCTCAACCAAAGCGTCGAGCAGGTCAGGGTGGGCAATAAGCTGCAATCCAGCTGTGTGGGCGCACTTTATGTCTCCTTCATTTAAGGCCCCAAAGGCCACCTCCTTCCATGTCTTAGGGTTCTTTGCCTTTCGCGCGGCATCCACAGCCGCCCCAAAGTCCTTCATCCGCACAAAGCAGCTAGCCAGCTTACTGTAATTCGGCAAGCTCTGGTACAGTATTTTTGCGGCCTGAGGAAAGGGGAAAGCCGCACAACAGGCACATCCTCGTGTCTCTCAGATGTGTCCCTCTCTCAAATGTGTCCCTCTCGACTGTGACACAGAACAGGTGAACGCCCACGCAATTAAACAACAGAGTCTTGAATGCTTTTCGCGCCCGTCAGGGGCTGCATCCAGCATGCGTACTTCGTAGCGACCCTGTTCAAAGAGCCTGTCCCCTACGGCCTGAACATTAGCGGTGTTCGGCCCATTGAGAAACAACTCCAGGTCCTCAAGCCTCTCAGTCATTGCGTAGGAGTAGAGCAGCTCCGAATCCAGAGTCTGGTCCTTGATTGTTACGCTTTTACGAGCCATGAGCAAGTAGTCCGCCAAGGCCTCGAAGGCGCCTTGCTCAGTTGCCTTCTCAACAACCTCCCTGAACACTTCGCCGTCGCCAGCCTTGATCAATGAATCGACAGCCTCGACCACACGCCCCTGCCGTAGCTGCGCCCTCCCCAGCTTACGCCAGACCTCCGCATTGCCACAGCGCTGAGCGAATTCTTGGGCTCTCTCGAGTTCCTGCTCGCCCCCACCAGCAGCAGCTTCCAGAAGCGTATCTGCGGCCTCCGCCAACAACCCAAATTTGCGGTAGATCGTTAACGCCTCCTCCCGCAGGCCGTTCTCCAGGGCCACCTGTGCAATCGCCGCGCCATCGAAGTTTTGTAGCCGGTTGATATACCCCATAACGCGCGAAGGCTCTGCTTTGATGGCTGTTAGAATAAGCAGGTTCTGCAAGTTCTGGTTAGAGCTGAAGTCGCTGTTGTGCAGCACAATCTTCTCAAGCAGCTCCGTCAGCTCCTGAGGCAGCTGCGCGCTGATGAAGGCATTCACTGCCGCTGACACCTCGTCAGCAGAAGATGATTCGGGAAGGGCTGAGGATACTACTTGGTCTATCACCGACCGCCGATAATTATTCTCTGGCCTCAGAACGTAAGCCCATAGCTCCGCGCACTGACGCTCAACGAGATATCTGCATGCACGGGAAAAACACAGGCAAAAGGCAATGAGTTCACATGTTGCTTCTTCGCTAGGCATACGAGATGAGGAAAAATTACCGGGCTTGGAGCCGAAATAGGCCATTCTTGTTCGTAAGCTCGACCAACTGCCTGTCACAGGGTCCCCAAGCTCTTTTGTAAGCAATGAACGCCAAATGCGGGTCCCTCTCTTCGCAATACTTCCCCACTTCCATCGAATCATAGAAGGCATTCGTCTTCAAAAAGTTCTCCGCGTCGCTGAGGGCACCAGATGAGAGCAAGAGAGGTGCGACTCCCCCTAATACCTAATACCTACTTTCTAGGGGTACTTTAACATGCATTTTCGCAGCACGACAATCTCCTCCCGACATTAAAAGCCGTTGTATTACTAAAATATGCATCATATAGCAAGCATTCTCGCGTTTGCAGCCACAGTTGCGCAGTGTTATGGTGCCTGTGCAGTGCGGCAAATTCAGGATGGGCCTTACCGGTTGGTATCGATAAATATCTTCGCCAGAGCATTGTGGACTGCTGGGTCCTGGTTTCCCTCCGCCACGCGCTGCTCAAGCCACTGCAGCAACAACCTCAATCTGTTCCTTTTCTCGACCTCTTCTACGAGCTGGGAGGCGCTGCAGTTGCCGCGGACCGCCTGCAGCAGTTGTTTGATGAAGTCCTCTGGGGCGTCTAGATCCACGAGAGCACCCACCACCAGCGGGGCATTCGCCGAATTCACGCGCGAGACGTACACCTCAATGTAACGCAGCAAGGAGTGTTTGTACAGGTACTCTGTGAGCTCAACGACAAAGCCGTGCAGGTCGCAGACGTATATCAAGGGCCTGGGGTCGCTAAGCTTGGCTTGCTGCAATTAACCGCACAGGAAGAGCAACACACTCAAAAACAGTTTGGAGTGGGGGGCTGCCAGTGGTTGGGATTGACACTTGCGAAGCGAAAAAACTTAAGGGCCTTGTTGCGTGCAGCGTCACGAGAAACATCTTTGGGGGTGGGGGGTGGGGGGTGAAGAGCGGAGAAGACGGCCACGGCCGCAAGAGCACAAGTGTGTACAATGCACAAAGACTGCATGTACAACATACCTTGAGGAATTCCTTTACGCGCTGCGGCTCGTAGTGCTTGCTTTCCCTACAGACACGCTCGACCTCCTGAGTGTGGTTGAGTTTCGCTGCCGCCTCGATGTACTTGAAGTGGACCTCTGGGTCTGTGGAGAAGGCGAGGATGGAACCCAGAAAGTAAAAAATGCCTTCATAGCTGCTGAAACGCTCGAACATGGCAATGAGGCGCTCCGTGCCGAGCTGCTCGTGGAACTTGATGGCCACACCCACCACAGCCTGAAGATTCTGAGAGGAAGCGCGCAGCATATCTGTCAAGATCTCCACACAGACTTCGGGGGCCATGCGGCCAAAGAATTGTGCCATCCACTCCTGCGATATCTTGCCTCCTGTTTGCAGGAGCACTCGCTTCACATCTGCCAGCTCTGTGTAGTTCTCCAGGGCGCGCTGGTACAGCCCCGCCGCCTCGCACAGAGCCCCCACTTTTTGCCGGTCGTAGTGGGTCAGCATTTCCATTTGGAATATGGCCTCGGCAACTTGAGGGGAGTGCTTCAGGTTAATTTCGAACAGCCGCGTCTGCAGAGGCCCCTGCTCAGGCTTGTTCCCCTTCAAATATTCCAGCAACAACGATGACAACTCTTGAAAGCGTTGCTGCTGCAACAGGACATCTACCACTTGGTTGGGGTCTACAAGCGGCGGCTCCGTGGCCAGCAACTTCTGCGCAAATGCCATGGCGCCCTCCGGGTTGGTCGCCAGCATCGAACGCAGCAACGCGGAGTAGTCCGCCTGTATGCGAGTCTGCGCTGCGTACTCCAGCAGCTCGTCAGTCTTGCCCTGCTCCACCAGCATGAGCATGACCTTCTGACCGGCCTTGGCCTTCTTGTAAACCTGAGTGGCAAGCGTTGGGTCCAGAGGCCTCAGCACATCTCCCAGTTCCTCCGTACACTCCAGCTTGTCTTCTCGCAGCCAAGTCGTAATGAAATCTTTCCTTCCTTGGGCCACCACAGGGCGCACCAGTTCCAAACTCTCCACCGCATTCAAAGACCCATATTCCAGGAGAGTTGAGAAGTACAGCAAAATGGCGGAAGTCTGCCCTGGTTGTGCCGGAACCCCCTTAAACTGCTGCAGCACTTGCGGCGTCCGCAGACGCCCGGACTTAAGCGTAGCACAGATGCGCGCAGCTCCCCGGTAGTCGCCGCTGGCAAAGTGTTGGTTGAAGGCCTGCATGCATGCCGCACGTGCTCAAGAAGCCAGAATCATGCAGCGAGCAGCACAAGAAAAGGGCCAGAAGCACGCTCAAGAAGGCAGAGGTGTTCCAGCATGAGAAGACAGCGCATGCGGAAAGAATACGAGGCACGCGTGGGGCGGACACATGCCACCTCACCTGAACAAGAGTGTCGTCCGCTCCCGGGAGGCCGTAGCGCTTCGCCAAACTCAGGTAGATTTGGGCTCTGTTTGGAAGGTGAGGCAAAGCATGTTGCATGTAGGGGCCGAGGAGACCCACATTGACGGTTGTGAGTGCCACAGTGCCTTTCTTGTGAACAGTGATGACGCCTCCCGTTTGAGGAGAATCCGCAGTAAGGAAAACGGGGTCCTGTGAAATGCGGTGCCGCAGCAGCTGCGTGCCGGTGAAGGCGTCGAAGAGCAGCAGAAAGCCGCCCTTGGTGACTAAGAACACGAGGCCGAGCTTCTTGCTTAGATGGACGGCAAGTGGGAAGTCCGACGGCGCATCCGGCGATAACGCAATGTCTGTACACACGCGGAGGGGAGGCTTGCCGTCCTCCCTCTTGGGGGCCAAGTCCCTAACGTGAAGCTTGAACTCAGGGTTCCCCCGTTTCTTCTCGGCGAAGCAAATGACTGGCTGCGGTCCCAACGCCTCGTCTACCACCAACCCCCCGAAACAGGCCGCATGCCCCTCCAGTTGCTGGTGCTTTTTCAGCTCCATCGAATATAGCTGCAGGGAACCATCGATGGTCTTCCCTCCGTCCTGTGTGCTGATGCCTGTGAGGACGCACCACTTCATCTCCTTGTCGGTGGAGTATCCGATAATCTGCACCCCCTCCGCAAGCCGGCCTTCCCTCTCGCAGATCTTCTGCGGCTCCCCCGCCTCAGCCCCCTCCCCCAATGTCCAGTGCCAGACAGCCTTTTCCGTGACTAAGGCGAGCACGCGGGGTGCAACCCATCTCCAGTAGACAATAGATTCCGGCATGGGGGCCGTACCCATCCGGGCCTTCGTCTCCAGGTTCAGCACCTGCACCACTTGCTGCCCGCCATCAGCCTTCGCCCGCAAAGCAACGATGGGGTCCGTCGGGTGATGAAGCGCCGCCTCCGCCTGCGTGGGTTTCTTGGACACAGAATAGGCGCCGGGGCTACCCGGGGACTCCAAGGCCTCCTTCGGGTTCAGACTCACAAAGTATAGCTCATTGCTCTCCACATCCCTCACCACCAAATGCTTGTCGCCGTCCACTGCCACATTACCAAACCGAAAGGAGGCACTTTTAACTCCGATGTCCCCCAGCTGCATCCCGAACACATACAAACACGCAGCTGCTACTCCTCACCGGTACCCAAAATACAGTCTCGCAAAACCCTTCAACGGGATAAATAGGATTGTCACCGCACGCAGATATGGCAAACACAAGATATCTCCAATCTACAGCGTCGCGGGAGGAAACGCGCTGGGATCCCCGTGTGCACAAGAAGGGGTGCGGGTAAAAAGAAACGCATGAAAATGCAGGGACACGTAATGCCTTACGTTTACAATTGGGGTGAGCTGTACAGGCAGCTGTTGTGCCATTTTGTGGAGAGAACCTCAAAACAAATCGGATGCAGGTGTCTGACGCACACAACACATGCATACGTCACACATCCTGCGACACGAACTCTCACCCACACGGATCTATTAGAATCCAATACTCCAAAAGCAAGCAGGAAACTCCAATCGCGGCAGAACACTGCAAGCGCCTTCATCACCGCAGCCGAATGATGCCCGTCTGCCCTTGTCTGTGCTGTTGGCGGGTGTTGGTTGGTGGAGCTGCTCCCTCAACTGATCAAATTAGGGTAGCCGCTAAGCTGAGTCTCAATACAGGTTCGGTACAAGATTCGAATATGGGGAACGCGTACAAGCGAGAGAAGCCGACAAAACTCTAGGGGCCGCTCACGAACGCATCATAATGGGCTGCTCCGCTCGTGTCCTGCCGAAATCGGTGCCTACAGCTATGGAGATTTGACACAACTGCTTTTTAAAGAGTGCGCCAGGGTGTACGTTGCTGCAGGTGGACAAATACTCACTCTTTGAACGCAGCCTGCGAGGCGCCGGGAAGAACCGGAGGACGGCCTGTAGTGCCTGGCACTACAGTTTGCCTGGAATTTTAAGAATAAAGTCAGAAACACAATAGAAAGATGAAATAAGACAGAATTGAGTCTACTTGTCCCTCTCTAGCGGAATTATCTTGAGCCTGCTGCCAACAAGGCACACGTGAACTGTTTGGGGCTGGCTGACTGCGTGCACAGCACGGAAATGCGTTTCGTAGGGCTCTTCACTTTCCTTTATCTAGAACTGCCGATTTTTGCAAGTCATGTTTCGTGTCTTTTTACATGCGGTGAGATTTGAGGTGTATCTGGTGCTTCCACATGGGCGTGTCGGGTGTTGCTCTAGTGGGAGACGGACATGTTTCTGTGGTTGTTACACCTATGTAAATGAATAGGCTTTTGGTGGTGCTCTTTGACCAGTAGCCGACATGGGAACGGAGGTTCCCACGGAGACTTCCACCTGTGCCTCTATCTCCTATAGGGAAGTAGTATGGCCTTCCCACCTGCCGTGAATCTGTGCAGCTCTGGATTAATTGAACCCCTTCTGACTTATAAACTCGAATACTTCTACAAGCCTTTAAACACTCCTTTTTACTACCTCATCACGTTGGAATTTCGGCTGCAGCCCCTGTGTATGAAGGAGTGCCTACAGGGCTAGGCTGTATCAGCCCACAGCACGGAAACGGCAAAACTTGGTTCCCAAGTTTTGCCCTGGGGGTTTAATCCTTTGATACGGTCCTTTACGTTATCCATAACTCGTCTCAGTTAAATATGCGTTTTGTCGCGGCTTGGCCCTTCGATTCCCACACGCAGGAGCTCCCATATAACAAGAGCCGGCGAGTCTAGCGGACGTCCTGCATGAGCTGGAACAGAGTAGAAGAACACGACAAGAGTTCCCAATTGAATTTGATAGCAGTCATTAAGTGTCCTGGTAACAGCGGTGCAAAGGCTTGGCAGTGGGATGGGGAGACAACGTCTACTGAGGAGTATCACTCCCAGGCATAGCTCTGGCTGCAAGAAATCACCTGCAGTAATAACCACAGCCTCACTCATGCATGAACTAACACCAAGGACAAACGCCAAAACATTTACAGACAATTAGTGGTCGATGTACGATCCAGGGGAAATGCATGTACCAGCGTAGGCGGACCGTGCAGCATATGCTCTTCGTCTCTCGAACAAACAGCCGATGCCGCCTTGCGCTTGGGGTGCCCAACTGGTTATGGATAAACCAAGACGTTGGGGAGTCGTAAGAGAAGTCGGGAATACACACAATACACAGTGGGGAACAGAAGTAAAAAGGCAACAATGACGCTGCAAATTTAGTGGATGCCCGTTCTAAAGTCCCGTTCGGGCCTCTAGAACGGGTATCCACTAAATTTGCAGTGTACCTCCTTCCGCGGGGTTGTCTGTCTGCATTAGGTACGTGCATTTTTAGCTGTGTGTACGATTGCTACTATTTGATATGCAATGGTTTAACAAATGCATGGCGAACTACGGCAAGCCACAAGACTGCTTTAAATACTGGATGTCGGGGTAGTGAAGGGGCAGGCGTTGCAGCAAGGTGCGCTGCAGCTAGTGTTTGCCAAGCGCCTCTTCGCACTAGCTACAGGCCGCTGGATCACTGAGACTAACATGCCGCCATACTGGAGGGGCATTGGAGGTCAGCTGCTTTTAGGCAGCTCTTGTAATCACCCAAAGCAGGATTTCCTCTCAGCGGGGTAACCCCTGGGCATCACACGTATGTCGAGTATCTCACTTTCCCTCTGTTGCCCTCTTTCTCAATGAAGTTGGCGCCGTTTTGTGGATATACTTTGCCGAACATCGGCGATATCCTGGAATATGCAGATTTAACGGTTGCAACCCAGGATGGTGATGACCCGCCAATGTTAGCCTATTTCCTGACTTTATGGCGAAGAGCAGGTTTCCCCACTAAACGCATGATGACAACACAAGGTAAAGTACTTCTGTTGGTCACCTCCGCACTTTGGAGACGCTCCGAACCCACTAGAATTGATATACCGGTTTTGAAAGTAATGCCGAACTTCCCTTGTCATAGCGCCGTTGGTATGCTTGCTTTCATTCACGGAGGGGTTGCTAAATGTGTCTCTGAAATGAAGTCAGATAATGCAGACACGCGAATAACATGCTGAATAACAGTAAACAGGCCTACTCCTGGCCGTTAGGTCCTTCGAGATGTTGACCCCAGCATGCCCCACTGAAGCATGATGGAGCAAACGTCTGCACGCAGGGAAGCTGGTGTGTATAATCGCCTTAGTCTGAGCTTCGCCTGGTACATCAAGGAATAGACTTCAATTCACTGTTACATAATAGATTTCCCCGCCGTGGCAATTGGGTTGGCAGCTCTTGCCAGCACCTCGCAACCTCGCAGCTCTACCAAGTGTGCGAGTCATGGACTTTTGAAGAGGACAATGATGAGCTGTAGTTGATCCAAAACACACTGTACGACACTCCGTAAAAGCAGCTAACCTCAAACCCACTGTCTAGATGTCCCGGGCTCAGCGGTAAAGAAGCTTGTGGCTGATATGTAGGACAGAAGGAGTGCCATGAATTGCAGCGCAACTTGCTGCAACTTCAGCCGGAAGGAAGTCCCTCAAGTTACAATATCCAAGCCATCTTTAGGTGCATACACTAACGCAGCAGACCATTGTTAAGAGGTTACCCGCCAACGTGCAGGTAATAAGCCTATAACAGCTCCAGACAAGACATGGTACACTCATATGATGCTCGTGAATTCCCTCTTCCTCCCGTGAACACTGTAAAAATTGTGTGCTTCCTTTGACACTTCCCAATTTAAGACACTCACCGTTGTTAGCTTCTTTGAAGCCTTGTTGAATACGCATTTCAACGCATGTTACGCTATTCCTAGTGGACAGCAGGATCCGGTTAGGTGCCAGACTGTTCACTTGTGGGAATAACAGTTGCAGATGAGGCGAGCCCGGTGAAGTTTTAATGACGTATCCAAAATTTTCACACAAAGGCAAGATAATCCACTTGCGGCGGTAGAAGAGCACAACCAGGGCCGCTTGTCTTCAATCGAAGATCCTGTGGGATTCCATCGGGCAGCACGTGCTTTGGGCACCATGCAATGAAGAAGGACCCCAGTAATTGCTTTTGATACTTTCTGACTATAGTAAACATTGGTAAAAAATATGGGTTAAGCTCGTTTCACGCTAGGCTGGCTATTTATGGTGTTTCCCTGCAGCGGGCCGGCTGCTTGACAGTTAACGTGATTGGTATCGTGCCGTATAGGCAACTTCACACCGCACGACACGCCGACAAAGCAATGAACTAATATGGTGCGATGATAATTAACTATATTTCATTCAACATCTGGTATCTCCAGCTGCCCACAAGTCGCTCATGCGCCAAACAACCATAGCCCGACGAGACCAGGCTGTCTGCTAGCACGAGGTTGGGGTGTTCAGCGACTCAGCCACGTCAGCATATGGGAGTGGAGAACTGCTTTTGGATCGCGATTTTGCTTCTGTATAGGCTAAATGGATCCCCTGTGGCCATGGCTGCTACTAGTGGCAGCGGTTGGAATCGTTGAGGGGCTGGTAGGTGAGTCGATTGGTCTTGCGGAGCCAACCACGCAATCAGAGACGACGGTCAGAACCCGACAGGGCGGCAGTCCTATTCCGTTTAGAGACGACCTTCCCGTTCCCGGGGGTTATGTAACGTTTACGAGGGGGAACACCGAGACAGCGCTGATATGGGAAGAAGACGCGACCAAAGGAGAAGCCAGCTTCCCCTGCAGTGCAAGCACTCCTGCAACCGAGGAGACCGCTTCTGTGCAAGTAGATTCAGAGGAATCGCTTGAACAGCAGCCGCCAAACCCAGAAGAATTGTCGTTGAAGGAGGCACCTTCGGTGGCGCCGGCCTCTCGCCTACGAGGAATCAAGTCCCTTGTGTTTGGCTCGTTGATCCTGGGCGTTTTGCTCCTCGTTATGAATGCACCAGACGAGTTGGACTCTGAGGATAGCGCTTTGACTGAGTTGCGTCACTTCTTCGCTGAGGACCTCATAGACAGGATGTTTGCGATAGATGACTTCTTAGATACGAAAGTTCCCGTTTTCCCCTTCAAAATCCTTAGTTTCTGGATTCTCGTAGGAGCTGCTCCGGTGCTATTTTTTTCGGGTTTGGAAAATTTGGCACGAAACCTGAGAAGGCACAGGCATGGCCAAGCCCCCCCTCGAGGTCCCCGAGTTCCCAGCCTTCCCTTGAGCCTCCTCAGCACCCTTCTGAGCATGTGGGTGGTTATGCTCCCCGCCTACAACAACGCCGAAGACGATGAAAGCCCTTTATTGGAAGAGGTCAGCGTGAATATTGCATGGGGAGTCAATATAGCGTACATGACTCTTCTCTTGTTCTAAGCTAAGCAAGACTGTGGGTGGGAGATATGGCATAGCTGAGAGACCAGGAACTCCAGCAAGTTACTATGTCACTTGATAAGGACGCTACAAACAATATGAGACCCGTCAGTTTTGGCTCTTGCCTTTATGTGATGAAGTCCACCAACTCACAACCTGGTCAACTGCATGGGGAGAGCAGTTCCTACAACATAGGGCGTGAAAACTAGTGGGCTTCTTCGGGTCAAATCATGATGGGAATAAGGCATATTGTGATAATCACCAGGCGACAGTTGCAACGGCCTTTTTTAAAACAAAGGCGTACGCTATAACACCTGTGGTGTTAGACCCTGTTAACCCATTATTCCAGCTTTAGGCGATTCAGTTTTATATGTTCCTACACATATTGAGTGCTGTCGCCATCCCCATGAGTTTCAGGCCTTCTCTACCTTCTTCTGGGTGTTTGAGACGTCAGGTGAAGAATGCAGACTCGCATGGATATGCTGTGTGTAAGAAGTACGACCTTCAGCACGGACAAAAGCTGTTCCACGTTTGCCCTGCACCGAGGTTTAATAAAAGATTAGTTGGGTGCGCAGACGGCTCCAGCTGGGATCATTCGGCACCAGCAACTATGGCTGGCGCCCACTTCACATTGCATTTTCTCAAGTCCCTACCAACAGTGGTGTAAAAGGACACAATGCGAACCATTTTCCACGAGAACTTCAGTTTTGCACACATTCTAGGTCGATGAGGAGGCTTGTGTACCACAGTGTAGAGAACGAGGTATGGTTGCAAGTCGTACTCGACTTGCAACAAGTCGTACCCGACTTGCAACAAGTCGTACCCGACTTGCAACAAGTCGTACCCGACTTGCAACAAGTCGTACCCGACTTCTTCGCTTAGTTGTGGTACTGTTCAGCTCGGGCAACTGGGTACACGCGTTCAAGTGTTCTACTTGAGCATCCGTAGACTTGAGCTTGAAATTTTTGTTGCTTTTTCGTTATTGGTTCAGCAGATGACTCCCAGTCGTCTCCTTGTTTGAATTGGCTGTTATGCCCTGCAGTGTGTGAGCTCAGAAGCAGTGGTACGTGGTGTTTGAGTCTAACACATTAAGCCCTAGGGGGCGTTAGGATCCGTTGCTTCACTCGAGGACACATTTGTGCTCCAGGAGACGGTAGATTGGGGGTAGAGGGCAGCAGATGCTTCGATGCTTTTCGTCAAGTATAGATTGACCTACCTGCCGGTGTTGACCACTTTTCCGGCTACAGAAGTCTGACACTTTTTAAAGCCTCCTACGGCTAACTGCACAAATGTTTCAACACTCTGGTGGAGGCTGTCATGTTTACCTCATCGCCCACTTGGGTCACCCGCTATTGTCAGGTGCCCAGTACATGGCGAAGTGCAGGCTAGCACAGTTACATGCACATTAGAATGCTCAATATATGAAAATAAGAAGCCTCATAAGGGTCCCTTACTACTCGATCAAATGTCTCCGTGCTCTCCCGTGCTCCTCCGCTGTGAAGGGGAAGGCTGCAGGAAGTGCCGCCGCAAGGAGTTGCAGTAGGTTACTGTGGAGACCACAGCCTTTTTCTTGATCCTTTAGCATCACCGCATATTTTAATTGTTAGAGAATATAAGCTCCGTGCCTGTTGTAAGTTCATTTGCCCCCACCGTTCCCTGCTGAGGTAGGCGGCCGCCGCCGACGGTCTGGTCCATCTGTCGGTTGGGGCTTGCCGCTCAAAGAAGGACATGCTCGATATCTGTTTTCGTGTGCCTTTATAGTAAGTCCTTTTCAATTCAACCCTAAATATCTGTGTGCAGGCATAGTGAATTCAACATATCAGGTCTAACCCTAGTTCCAGCCTCCTGTGGCTGCTTCGCTGTGTGCTCGGCGAGGCCTCGGCACTCCTACTATTGCTGCCTCCTCGCTGGAAAGCTCTAAAGACCCATTCCAATGGAGTAAATTCTTGTATATTTTGCCTCTCATATTGAATGGGCGCTGAGCAACAGATTTGGTGCTCCCGCCTTGCCTCTAGAACTGCATATCTGACACCCTCATCCTGGGCCTCCGGCTGTTTCCATGACCTTTCCACATTTGCTGCATTCACTTTCCTTCAGGGTCGCACCTTGGTGTAATCCTTGACTTCAAGCAGGCCCAGCTTTGGGCTTCAGGACGCTGCCGTGCGTTCACTGCAGCAGTAGCTGGAGGAAGGCGTGCTTGTGTAGCAAGCTTCAGAGTCAGCTGGTAGGCAGATAAACACCCTTGTGGCAAAGGAATAAACTTACTCAACACCACGCACACAGACACTTGGGGTGTTCTGTTCGGGGGAGAAGCAGCGTCTGCACCCGCCTCGCATACTACCTAAACTTGCGGCGATGGCCCTGGTGGGAAAGGGGCCCCTCACATCCGCGGTCCCGCCTAAAGGGCCCCCACCAGGTGCAAAGATTGCTATCAAAGGCAGTGGACCTCCGCCTGGGAAGGTTCCGTTGCCGAAACCTCAACTTTCAAGTTCTGCTGCAGGGACGAAGACGGGTTCACCCACCAAAACGTTGCTTGCGCCTGGAAGTGGCGTTCTACCCAAGCCACCTCTGCCGTCTCCTACTGAAGGGCATACAAAGCCAGCACTTCCACTTGCGAAGAGGGAACTGCCAAAATTGCCGCCGCCTCCAACGGGCACGAAGGCGACAAACAACCCACTAAAATCTCTTTGGCACAAAAACGCCGCGAGCCCCACCAAACCACTTCCGGAGAACATTCCAGATGCAACGAAACAGCAGAGCTCCCAAGTGGAAGAGGGGGCCTTCTGCCAGAAGTCTGCTACTCCAAAGTCCGTCCTACCTGCGGAAAAGGGACTTCCCGGCGGTCATTCAGAGGCAATACTTAAGGATGGCTCAGCTGACGGCAGCCCCAAATCAGCAACGGTGGCACCTGGTCCCGTTCATTCAGCTGCATCAAAAGCCTCCCCAGGCACTTCCATTCCTCAGAAAAGCGGGCCTGCTGGTTTTTCATCAGCAGCAAAGGTCGTCTCCGACTTGCCGACAGCAGCGACAGAATCATCTGGTTTGGCAGGCGCAACAACGAGGCCTCTTGGCCATACATCCCCTATCTCAAGCAAGGGAGGCATATCTGCTGGCTTGGCTACAAGTTCAAATCTGGCCCTCTCCCCTGAGACAAAACCTGGTATCCCATCTACGGTTGTCGATGGTGCTGCGACGCTGCCCAACGTGGTAAGGGCAGTTGGTACAAACTAGTAGGAGCTGCATGGGTTTGGGTGATGTACAGACGAGAGGCGGGAAATAAGCTCCCTTACACGCGCTTGAAAGTTGCGGTGGCTTCTTTTCTTCAGACATCCCCCGGCGTTGACGAGTTCGGGAGGCAGCGGGGCAGCGTGGGCGACTTGGCGCCCAAGAGCGAGTTAACTCATGATCTCCTAGGGAATGTGATCCCCGTATTTGATAAATCGTAGGTTCAAGTAGCGACTAGTAGTAGCATAGTGGGTCAGCAGACAGAAAATGCAGTATACGTACTGGCCAGAGGCTGTGCGCAGACGCATTACAAGCCTGGTGTTGCTGGCCGAGGCGGCCCACAGTTGGTTGGTGTATGCGGACCTTCAAGCTCATGTGCCTCTGCGAAGGTGCATCAGTACGAGGTGAAAGAGTCATACTTGTGCTGCTGCTCTCTGGGTTGGTGCGCCTCAGGGGAAAGTTCGTGGCATTTGCTTCAGGCCCACCAGCTCCACTGGCACGCTCCGACCCAGCGCGGCGTTGTGCGTAACTCGTTAGTTGCCAGCAACCCAGCACCTTACAAATATTGTAAGTTGTCAAGCACTTCAAAGTGCCTTCCCTTCATCTGTGTTGCTATTGCGTTCACAGCCCGCCGCCTTTTGGACCGAAAACCTCAAGAGCGAGACACGATGAAGATGCCGTCCGCGCGCGGGTTTGATTCCGTAGCCGGGTCCTTTGGAGGCTTGACTGTCCCAGGGGGCATTCCCGGCTTCTTCCTCTCTGTACCGCCTTGGCCAGCGCCCACCCCAATGCCGATGGACCAGGTGGCAGGCTGGGGTGCCTACAATCAATTGCCAGGCTGTCAATTTCCCCAGATATCTCCCTATACCGCTTTCCCCCCGCAACCAGTCCCACAAGCAAATTATCCAACGATGTACGGGCCAACCGGAGGAGGAGGCAAGGAACAACACGGATGCACCCGACAGCAGGGAACTTTCGAACCGGCCTCCTGGCCGGGTTACCCTGGCTACCCTGTTCATCCAGATGCCGATGACGCTCGTGGTTCGGCATCTAGCCGTAAGGAAGGTCTCGTAAAACCGTGTACCATCCTCTGCAAGCACAACAACAACCTTGTTCACCATTCTTGCGTCTGCTTAGGGGTTACAGGAGTTCTGGTCAGGTGAAATGTCTGTTGTTCTGGGGAATCTACACCTCCGCTCCTATGGTTCCACTTTTCCATGCAGATTTCCCCGGCCGCTCGAAAGTTGCAAATTCTCCAAGAACACACAAGCAAAAAGTAGGGAGGCCCCGCAGAAGGTATGGAAGACCAGTATGGAGCTCCCACTAAAAGCAGCGGTTTGATGGCCCCTGCTGAAGCCTGACAAAGCGAAGCTCTCTCTCCGTACTGTTTGTGCCTCCTTATTAGTTACAACGACAGCGAGACATGCAGTGATTCCATACTGGTGGTTTTCCGTGGCTCCGCGTGGTTACTCTATTCGTCAGCCCATAGGTTGGTGCTGGAACTTCGCCGCATGGAGGAGCTGCTTATGAGCTACTTATGCCAAGGAGTCTGTTTTCAAGGTTAATTGTCGTCATTCATTGTAGATCACCTGTTGTTGGTGTCTTCACTCTGCAGCAGGGGACTTCCTTTGGATGATCTCGAGGGTTCCCGAGCAAGGGGCAACGTGGTGACTCGTGGTAACGAGGAAATGGGGAAGAGCAAGTGGACGCCCATTGAAAGACATGTGTGTTTCAGTTGCTTTCTTCCCCCTACGGCTGTGTGAATTCGTCTACCTCCGACGAAGCATGTTAGAGTTACCGCAGCTCTAGTTCTGAAGAGACACCTTTCGTTCACTTTACGTTCAGCGCGGATCTAACATGTCTGCCCATCCTTCTCTCCTCAGCTTAACAACATTAGGGGAGGCTATGGCGAGGCTTACCGACCCCTTGGGGAGGAAACAACTCCCCCCCGAAAGCCTTCTGCTCGCGCAAGGCACAGGAGTTCGAGTGTCAGAGATGACGTGTATTCGGGTTTTCGCCCTTACTACCTCCGGGATAAGAAACCCTTCGTTGATGAAGATATCCCTCGGTCAGTCATCGTATTGGGAACTACAACTTGTATGCGTCAACGTACGACGCAACGCCGCTCCGCATGGGAAATGTCTCCTATCCTATATGCTACATATCACCTCTCAAAAACCCAAGCTCCCTTGCGCTGGTGCACGAATAACCTTCTTTAGGTTCATCGCATGTTTTTGAATTGAAGGTGCTCCCAATATGAACAACGCGATGGCAGGATGCATGACTTGGTGCAACGGATACTTTGCCTGCAGTTTCCCACCTAGCCCACCCGTTGTATCGTAAAGTGTAGTTGAAGGCTCCGTTGCCTTTGCCAGGATTCATTAAATGCAGATGAGATGCCTGGTATGAAGTGGCGAGAGAGCCTGCAGATCGGGTGGACTCAACAGCTGCAGTGACTGTTGGTCTCACCTTTCGGTTTTTCTGCTTCCATTTTAGGGTCGTGGAGCTGAACGAGTCTACCAGCAGACTCCCTGTACCTCCTAGGAAGAGCCCGTTGATGACGAGGCCAAAAGATCGTACCTGGGATCGCTGGGGCTCGACTGGACTGACAGCCCCGCGCAAGTAATTCAAAAATCCCTTCTCGCCTCCCCGCCAGCGTTCTGCGTTCCACTTGCACACACCGTGTCCATGGGTTCATGCTTCGAGCGCTTTAGCGCTTGCAAGTTGGCCGCTGTTTTGCAATGAGCAGGCGAACCTACCAAAGTCTGTCGGAGCTTGCAAGCTGCTTCTCTAGTCTCGAGGCGGAGGACCAGGATGATGTCATCAGTTTGCTGCTACTTTGCAGGAAGTGAGGCAGATCTCCCACCTAATATTCATCATGAATGGCTTGTTCCTTCACAAGCTCTCTTCATGCTGAAGAAAAAGTTCTTATATGTTGGGACAGTACGGTTTTGGGGAATACAGGCAAGATCAGAGGGCATAAACAAACCGTCGACTTACGGTTCCTTATGACACTGTGGCGGCTGCTGCAGGCTGGAGCAACAGGTGGAGAAGCAACATGTTGTTATAGATATGCTAGAGCACGAGCTATCCGAGGCGCAGAAGGTGTTGAAGTTCCCTCCAGAGTGGCGGACCTTGGAAGGCGTTGACCTCGCGGGAATGGTCCCGTCAGGTAAGATGGCTTCCCCTTGTCCCCATCCAGCACGTCTAGGGGCGGAATAGGTATCTTGTAATGCTAGAATC